AGAGAAATTAATAGAAATATTAAATAGATTAAGTAACTAGTTAGAGTAGACAAGCATTCAATTTCCTAATGACACAGGATTTTGCGAGACTTCATAGTTCATATACATAGTATGATTAAGCAGTAACTTCCATTTATAGCTGTATGCATGACACATGACAAAAGTCGTCACCTTAATTTGGTTTTAAAAAAATGTGAAGACTCTTTTTGATAAATTTATCCCTTGTAACATTACTAGCATTAAGAGGTTTCTAATTTTAACTGTAATCTGTGCACACGTAAACGACTATAATTCATTAAAATATATACAAATCACATGTTCAATAATTAATAATCACTCGTGTTGGAGTGTAAGACTTTGGATCATTACGATTCTCTTTAGGCATATTATTGAAGTTTAATTATTAAGTTCCTAACTAAGCCCTTAATTTCAAAGTCAAAGGACAATGTTCATACCGTTGGCAAAGCCATTTCTCTTGTCATATGTGCTCCATATATATGGCCGTTGATAAGGATTAATCGTTAACAATGAAGTTTAAATGGTCAACTTTGAAAAGAAATAGGAGAATAAGATCCGGCTATGTTTGGATTATGCATGAAACTCTTTTGTGTGTGGGGTAGGTATCATGTGATATGTGGCAGCAGCTAGCAGCTAGCTGCTAATTGGAGTTGTTAGTCGATTGATGTTGATGGCCATTGAAGCATTGACGCCCAAAATGTGGCAAAGCAAACCTTAAACCAGGTAGATAAAGGATAGGCACGGCAACCGGCCCTGGCAAAATAACCCCCCTACCCTAAATTTTCATTCACAGGCAATTATGTGACATTAATTATCATATGTCAACAATTCATAGTACCTAATCCATATAATTAGCAATTTTCTGCCAATCTAAATTGTCGTACTCTCCTTCAGGTGGTCCCATAAAACCCACCTTAATCTTTTAGAAACCCCAAGTCACAAATGAATGATAATCATATGTAGATGTCCTCTCATTGAATTGCACTAGATTATCATTCACGATTATGAATGAAGTAGATTTTTGTTTGGTAGTCTAATAATGGATAATTTATTAAGTCAATTCTTGTTTGAGCGTATGTTTAAATTTACAGTCTGACAACATAATTATATTGAACATTAAACTATGACAACATAATTATATTGAACATTAAACTATTTATGCTTTCAAATTGTTTAATAAGAACGTTACTGTGTTGCCCTGTTTCCCTATTTTATTTTAGGTTGATAAATCGTTGTGATAGATGACAATTGACATGGTTTGGAGCAACTTGGGTGTCTTATATGTGGTTTTGGACTTTTGGAGGGGTTGAGGAAATGAAGAACAAGAGGATCTAATGTGTGGGGCCCACAGAGAGAGGGAGAGACCGACAAAGAGCATCTTTTGGTACATGGGTTTGCGTCCAGGGGTGCATGCGAGAGAACAGAATTGTAATCAGCCTCTTTGTTTCTTTGTTTCTTTGTTTGTGAATTGTGAATAGTCTTAGCAAGAAAGAAAAGAATGAAAGAAAGAAAGAAAAGGAGTGATTCCCAATTGGGTTGGGATGAGAGAGAGAGAGAGAGAGAGAGAGAGAGAGAGAGAGAGAGGGGTTTAATTGGTGGGGGTGCAGTGCAGAGAGCAGCAAACTCTCCGGCGCTCGTGCAGTGGCGCTTTCTGATGGGTGTCAGCGCCACCCACGCGTCTTTTGCTCTTACTCCCACGCCCCCAACACTCTGGATTATGCGGTCAAACCATGCTCTCTCTCTCTCTCTCTCTCTCTCTCTCTCTCTCTGCATTGACCTATTTTGCTATGTTTACCTGTTTATTTGCTTCCCACACCCAACCAACCCTTCCCTTACACCCTGTCCCTCTATATCTGCTATGTGCTGGCTCTTTCCACTCTTGCTCTCAAATGCTTGGCCTATTGATCAATGGGTTACCAGATTTGGTCTTGGCTAGTTTGGTTTGGATAATTTTCCCAAAAAAAGATCAACCTAGTTTTCTTATTTATTTGTAACATGGAGAAATTCTTGTTATATTGCTCTTTGTCTATTACCCTATTGGCAGAGGTACTATGATTGAGGATTTCTTTGGTTGTGTTTTTTATTTATAAACAATTCGATACTTTTATATGCAATATACAAATGAAAACATGTTGGTGGATATGTTGTATATAATATGCCATGTATACTCTATTAAAATTGACTAAAGTGGCATGTAACTAACTTGTTAGGAAAAGTGTGAAGTGATTGTCCAACATAGGGGGTATAATAATTAGTGAGATATTTTTTTCAAGTTGCACGAAAGACTTTCATACTTGAACTCGAATTAAGTAATTAAAGTTAGAATTATGTATTTTGGTGCAGGGAGTCGAAAGATGAAATCACAAGTAGTATAAGAGACGACGATTTAGTTGAAACACATGATACATGATTATTAGTTGAAGTAGAGTAGAAACATGACCATAAAAGTGGAGTAGCTCAAAGAAAATTTGTGGAGCCTAGGCTTGGTGGAAATCAAGAAAACTTCAACATTCACTACCAATTAGAAGGGCACAATTTGTAGCTTTGCTTCTTCTGCCACTTCACAAAACTTTGAAAACGAAGGGCACAATCATAGTGCTTGTAAAGCAACTTTCTCAATGTTCGGCAGTTTCTTTAATTTGTGCTCATCCTGTAATTGTATCTCCACGTACGACTATGAGTGTCTTAGGGAGCTCTTCTAGACCAATCAAAGCATCAACTTTATGTTACTTTTGTTGGCGTTTTATAACCATAAACCATCTACAAAATGAAATTTGGCCCCTCTAGTTAATTTAGACGGTCAATTTTTCGCTGTTTTCGAATATAGATTGAACTTGTACATCTTTTTTCGGTTAAATATTTTAGATCAGTTGATTAAGATAATGTATCAATCTTTTTAAACATGAGTTCAATTTATACATCTCCGTACATCAGAGTAGTTAAAATAACACTTAAAAATAAAAAATCTACAATTACCTAACTTCAAAGATGAGATTCTAAACTCCACTGTTGAAAACAAGATAAACATAGATAAAATCCCGAAGTTGTTGATAAACACGTACCCAAGTCAGTAGTCTTTGTTGTGTTTCTTTCCTACTTTAGTGGTCTGCTGACATAGTTAACTGTGCCCTAAGCCAAACGGAAGTACACACCCCGGCCAATTGAGTCTCACTCAAAAGATAAAAAAGAAACGCAATAAAGGCACTCATCAAGTACAAATTAAGAATAATATCGAAAGGTATATAAAAGTTCTCCTACGTACCATTTTTAATATGAACTAGAGATGATAATGATATTACATTATCCTAATTACTAGAAATAAATGACATGCAAATGAAGACTAAATAAAACATTGTCCCATTGTGAATTGATGTCCATATATTCTCTCACATATCACAATAAAACACTACGTAAATTTATGAACTGATCTTGATCTAGTTTAGTATTACATATTAGAATGTGAGTATCCAGCTCAAAATTAATTAACAATGAATGAAGAAGTTCAAGATCTTTTAAGCACTGTGTGTGTCATCTTTCTATGTCTAACACATAGACAATTCTTATTAGGTGACATAAGAACACGTGAGTTCGTTTGGTCTTTCACGTAAATTGTCTATACTGATACCATATTAGAATGTGAGCATCTAACTCAAAATCAATTGACGATTAATGCAAAACCTTCTAATGTGGAGGTAAATTCGACAAATGAAATTTACTTTTTACGTTAATTATTATACATCAATTATATATTGACAAGAAACACATCGAGTGGTGGTACAAGAAAATGCGGTTCACTAACATTGCTCCATCACAACCAGCCAACTAGTTCATGGCATATCCAGGGAAAGGAAGATGAAGTTTGCGAAAGAGACCCGAAAGAAGCGGGGGAACAGACACGTGTAATGTTCTGAAAGCAAGTGGACAGTGGACCCCAACATTAAGGTTTAAACGTTAGAGATAAAGATAGAATTTGCAGACCCATGGTGCATGTGGGTCATGGAAAATTGAAGCACGCTCTCTCTCTCTCACTCTCTCTCTCCTGCCATGCCAATGTAATCACACGAGAGCCCAATTTTAATGTGCCAGCTACATATGCTTGCCTCCCCAAATTACCTTATTGCCATTACAACATTGATTGATTCGATGGGGTTTAATGTCCAAAAAAAATATATCAAAGAGACAGAATGGTCCCATACATGGCAGCTGGTTCTCTATCCTATTTAATTAAACTAATCCTAATTACTTAAGACTAAATGTTTAATTAGTCAGTTTCTTAGTTCTTTCAAACCCCATTTTGAGAGAGAGGAGAGAGAGAGAGAAAGGTATGGGGACCACTGCACCGCCCATAAGCACGCAGTTGTAGTCTCTTACTCTTACCCAAACCAAACCCATACCCATCCCTCTCTCTCTCTCTCTCTCTCTCTCTCTCTCTCTCTCCTCTGAATCTAACCCTAACCCAACTCTACTTGACCCCTTCCTTCTCTCTTTCTCTTTAGACCAAACTGATCCCCCCATAACCTGTTTTCTTCTCGTCTTCTTCTTCTTTCTTCTCTCTGCTTCTCTCCCAAACCGTCAACAAGAACACCAAGAAACCATACCAAAATTAACCCTTTCCTTTACCCACAAGACTGAAGAAGCATGCCAATTTCAGCTCCAATTTTGTGGGTGTCACCACAAATCTGCTGCTTTCTGCTCAAGCCTGGTTCACTGAACAAGATGAAGAAGAATTAAAGCAACCCACAGAAAAAAAGAGAGAGACACAGACACCCAAGAAAGTACTGTACAAGTCTTCCTGAGTTGTTAATCTTTATTCCCTTTTGCTAGCTCTTTCTCTCTCTCTCTCTCTCTCTCTTTGAATTTGTGTACACAACCACCTTTTAGCTTGGCACTAGCTCTCCTTTCTACTTTCTCAATTTCTTCGGTTCGTTGTATTCGAGGAAAAAGAAAGTAAAGAAGGTGAAAAAAGAGCATAAAAATTTGATATGGACACCCATTCTCTCCCTCCTCCTTTCCATACAAGAGATTTCCACCTGCAGCATCATCCCCAGTTCCACCACCAGCAGCAGCAGAATTCGGAAGACGAGCAAACCGGCAGCAGCGGCCTCAACAACAAGGGCCAGAAAAGAGAGCGAGATATCGACAATGACAGCGGCGGCAATGGCGGCGATTTAGGCAAAGAACTCAATGTCACCATCTCCGGTGGTGATGGATCAGAAATGACCCGAAGACCCCGCGGAAGACCAGCCGGATCCAAGAACAAGCCCAAGCCCCCCATCATCATCACCCGCGACAGCGCCAATGCGCTCCGCACCCACGTCATGGAGATTGCCGACGGCTGCGACATAGTGGAGAGTGTTGCCACCTTTGCTCGCAGGCGCCAGAGAGGCGTCTGCATTATGAGCGGGACGGGCACCGTCACGAATGTGACAATCAGACAGCCCGCCTCTCCCGGGTCCATCGTGACTTTACATGGCCGATTCGAGATCTTGTCACTGGCCGGGTCTTTTCTACCACCGCCAGCCCCGCCTGCCGCGACGGGGTTGACCATATATCTGGCAGGCGGGGGCGGGCAAGTTGTAGGTGGAAGCGTTGTTGGGACGCTAATTGCGTCCGGGCCTGTTGTGATCATGGCGGCTTCGTTTAGCAACGCGGCGTATGAGCGGCTTCCTCTGGAGGAAGACGAGGGTCAGCTGCCAATGCAAGGCGGCGGCGGAGGTAGCCTTGGCTCTCCAAGCGGAGTTGGTCATCAGCAACAGCAGCAGCATCAACAGCAACAACAACAGCAACAACTTTTGGCTGAAGCTGCAAATACAAATGCGCCACTTTTTCATGGTTTACCTCCCAATCTCCTGAATTCCATGCAATTGCCAGCTGAGGCGGCCTACTGGGCTACCGGCCGCCCACCATACTAACCATGGAACCGGCCGTATCGGTATCGGATCATATCACGAGTTCATTCACTTTGCCATCATCACCTACATCTTACTAAGACGTTTTCATTACCGGCTATGTAGCTAGGGAGTAGCTAGCTATATGGATAGAAGAAGAATTTGGTTTGTCGATCAGCATTTCAGATTTTTAGTATGTTTCCTTCTTTTTCTTTTTTTTCGAGCTTGGTTTAATTAGCATTGTTCGATGATAAGATCACGTACCATATGTTTTACTTCTTTGATTGAAAGACTCTGTATATTTCATGGATTATTCTTGGTGAGTTTCATTTTGTGAAATGTACTAGCTAGAGTAACGAAGCTTGTTTAATATATGAAGAGAAACAGCATCCAAGAAGAAGGAACCATGAGCACAATTTCTTAGTGTAGTGTTTGCTTTCTCTACAATGGCGGCCTTGTTGTCCTCCTCACTCATTAATCTTCTTCTCTATCCATGAATAAGAATTTGCTGTTCGAACCAAACCCTTCTTCTGTCTATCTTTTAGTACTTTGCATTGTATCAAGAACTGAATTGAGTTTAACATATTCATCGATCTCTCTCACAGCAGCTAGATTACCCTACATTTTATGTGATTCCGTGAGATCCCATCATTTGAATTGTTACCTAGTCAGTAATAATTATATATTATCTACAGCATATTATCATATCATAATTACCATACGTACTGATAGAGTAATTATTACTTATGATAATGTTTTCTTTTCTTAAATTTAACGATCGAGATTTCGAATTTAAATTCTTTTTCAACGAAGTGAAGAGATTTCGAATCACTAAACAAACACTTAATTGGTATACTTACATATATTTATTGCTATATATAAGCTGGTCGAGGTTGGAGGGTAAGTATTGAGGGTTTGAAACTGTTTGATATTTGAATGGCTAAGTATGTAGGAGAAGAAGAAGCAAAGAGGTATGGGCTTATTACAGCTTCCATGTGTTTCCTTCTTTCCTTTCTTTTAGAGATAGAGATTGTTTCAGAAATATTTTGAGATACGGAGACATGAAAATATTTGGGTACTGGTTTACACGTGCACACTGCTCTGAAGAAGCTCCTTTTCGAGGCAAACAACATCAACAACAACACACCTTCCATTAAACGCCCACAACTAGCTACCACAATCTCTTTCTCTCTCTCTCCTCTCTCTCTCTCTCTCCCTCCCTTTATTGGGTTCAGAGATAAGGATTGGGCAGGCAGCTAGCTCTACCTGTACTTCTCGAATTCCCTCTCTTATATTCTTGCCACTTTTCCCCAAACTTTAGAAGCTTACTAGACTTGACAATTCTGTGTTCCCTTCAACCTACAGTCACCTTTTAATTGCTTTATTATGATCTGTGGTTCCCTTGCAACATAATGTATTGTCAAACAATTTGACATGATATGTTTTCTAACTATCAATTAAGACCGCAATTGGTTAGATATTGTCTACTTAACATTAACGAACTTTTAATCTAATGGTACATTTCAAGTTCGAATCCCCTTTTCTCGTAGATATTTATCAAAATAAAATAAAAAATCCTTTGCCTACTTACTTGGTCCAAATAACAGCCTAGCATGTTATTGTTAGACTGTATGATGAGAAAAAAAAATTACCATGTCAAACATTTTGATATGCAATAATTTTTTATTTATTATCAAAGTATCTAGAATTTTATGTTGTAGGACTATGAATTCGGAAATGAGAGCTACTTTTTGTTGGAATTTATTGAATTCGTACAAGCAAGGAAAATAATGTACGGCGTTGAGCTTGTTGCCATCCCATCCATTTCCTCTAACGATTCTTTGCATGCTGTCTTAAATACTAGTGAACTCAATGCTTAGAAAATTTGTGCTGTGCGCATACCAAATGTGTACATGCGCGGTCAAGCCATCGATAATATTTAGGGTTACCATGATTGTTTATAATTCGGATCAATTTTTTGAAGCAATATACCTCTTGAGTACCTATATAGATAGATCTCTATAGATAGAGGTGACGATAACACCTTAAATGTTTCTAAAGATAACGATAACATCACGTGCCATGCAACTGTATAGATAATAATTTTTCCGTGTCAAAATTGGTTGTCATAAATGTCGCGAGACTCGGGACGCATAAATGTGGCATGCGCCACATGCACAGTCTTTGGCAGTTTTTGACTGAAACTGAAGAGCCTTAATTTCCATGGAAAAGTGCGTTTTGGAATCGTCAGTATGAAATCGTACAGACAAATACAAGAGAGGAATTCTTTTCTTTGTCCTTTTCCCTATTGTTTGTCCATTCCATTTTTTTTTCTTGCTTTGGAGAGGGACTATATATATCCGTACGTTAGTGCATTCGGTTCTCGTTTCAAGATTGCTTTGTTTCCAGAGGTTGTCCAAAGTTTTGAGCAGTTGCAACATAGCAATCTTTAGTTTATAAAAGTGATTCCAAAAAAAAACAAAAAATTAGTTATCTTTTTCGTATTTGTTTCATATACAAATCAATATACAAACTAGTTAGAAGCTACATATGGGATGTTCATTCAGGTGAAACATGAACTGATAATAATTTGTTCAACAAATTAGGGCAGTTTCTAATTAATTAACTAAATATTAGGACTATAAACCAAAGAGCGCCCGGCCAATGAATGGCAACTTCCTCAAAACAAGCTGGTGAAGTTGCAGCTGCAAGCAAGGATTCCTTTTTTGTTTGTGGAAAGCTCAATCCTCAGATTTTGAGTTTAAATAAGGCCGATTCTTGTTGCTGCATTCTCCCACACCTTCACAATGTTTCCATTATGCCATGACCTCTTCAATTATCTATCCGTAGCCGCCTTAGTTCAGCTTGGAAGGTAGGGCTCGAAGTTAGTGTTCGATATGCAAGAGTTCTGATGTCTTCACGTGAACAGTCTCGAGAAATGCGGACCAGCTCCCACAGAGCACCAGTACTGATCATGTCTTTTGCATTAACTTCTGAAAAATAAATTAACAGTTCAGCAAACGCTCTAGAGGAGATTAGCTAGTTCATGGTGCTTGGGGGAGGAGGAGGAGAGTTTACCATGTTGCGCCAAGTGGCAGAGTGCAAGCTCAATGTGGCGCCTGATTGGCGAGGCATCATTATTAGCATTCTGTACAATCCATGAAAGTGCACCATCCTCAATCAGCAGAGACCTTCCAGTCTTGGTCCCTACAATGAATTAACCAATTTAAGTCCAAATTGGATGATTAAACTATATATGCTTCACAAATTCTTCACAAAACCAAACTTTTTTCAACAGAAAAGCAAACAAATTTATGAAGTAATGCTGGACTGTATAATAATGTTCAATGTGATAAGCACAATACTCTTTGAAGACAAGCACATGAAGATCTTTTCCATAAACCCATAGCTAGCATCTTTACCTTGTGTAGATGCTCTAGACTCGCATTTTGCGAAGTTCGCTATTCCACGAGCAACTTGTGCAAGAACATCAGGATGCCCACATCTGACCATTCCTAGCAATGCTTTGATGCCACCTTCACCCCTTAGCTTACTCTGTAATTTATCTGAACAAGCAATTTCATTGTTGTCAGTGACAGCAAGATAACTACTCAAATTATCTTTTGTTGGTTAATGCAAATACAAGCACTTCAGAAAGGAATTAGTGCGATTGTCAAAACCATTTCCTAACTAATTATGTCCGTCATAAGAGATGGTTTCACCACTATTGCCAAATACCCAGTTCGAATGAAGTATATGATTGAATTGTAACCTTTAAAAGTTAAGAGACTAATAAAAACAGAATATGGAAGAGCCTTAACAACTACTACATCAACCTTTCCATGAGTAGTTTGCCTTTTTAGTTTAATCTGACTAAATCAAGACCTTCACAAACACTTGATAATTCCACTACAAGCACAACTTACTAATAACCGCACCACAAGAGTGTAAATTACTACAACTGTTTCCATAAGTTTTCATTTCAGGTAAATATGATTAAATAACCGGCCTGTTTGTTATTGACAAATCAGAAAGAAAAAGAAATAGACATCTTGCTAAACCCCAATATTACAATTAGGAGAAAGTATATAAAGAACTACCCTGATGGAGAATGATGAAGATCCTACTTTCACCAACTTGATGGGGTTTGTGATTAAGGATATGATTAAGGAATTGAACATTGAAGAGGTCAGCAAGTTTACCATTTCCACAGAGATTAGCAATGGCTCCAGCAACCATTCGAAGGGTTTGTGGATCTTCACCATTTGCTGCTGTCATAGATAACAAACTAATTCCCCCTTGAGTCATTATCAGCTCCTGGTTGGTTTCTGATTTAAACCAAAGAAGAATTATACCGCAAATTAGAGAGTAGAGACATTATCAGTCAATATTGTAATGCATTCTAAGCATTATGAATTTGGGACTTAAATTGTTACCATTCATTGCTAGATTTGCGATTGCCCCTGCTGCAACTCTATGTATGGTTTCATCCTCAGAGCTTTTAAGTAGCATCAACAAGGATGTAAGACCACCAGCCTCTACAATTTTCTCCTGATTTGCTTCTGCGCATTAGGAGGAGAGCACGTATTATTGCTTGCTGATGCAGTGAGCACTAAAAATACTGATACTACGAAGCGGTAACATCAGATATAGAGGTAGAGCTTTATTCAACATGGCACAATAGTCAGAATATAATATATAGAAGTGAGCTTTTCAATGTAGCATAATATCGTAACCCACTAAGGGGTACATTTTAATAAAAAATGAAATTAAGGAGACACATTTTATAAAATAACCATTCAGTGCATATAGATAACAAAATATATGACCTCAAATTGACAGCGTAAAGTGAGATCCCTATCCCATCCCATGCTTTCACAAACTGTCACTGAACTCCAAATCAGATTCCTGATCCAATCAATAATTTCTCTATATTATTTTATGCATTTATTTATAATTCTTTTCTATAACCTACCGCCCTGTTTTTACAATCATTTGATAAAGAATCATCTAATTGCATGTGC